TAACGATTGAATGGCGTTTATAGCTAAGCCGCGACGCCGCAAAACAATGATGATCGTTTAAGCGTAAATAATTATCACGGATAAGATATTGCAAGGCTATAAAGGTACAGCTAGTTAAATCGGCGAAAGTCATCCACGATGTATAAATAATAGTAGGATACTTTTCCGTTTAGATTCAGTATAAGTTGATCTATCGTCTTGCAAAGATACCATGGGACATCAAGTATTTTGATTAATATCATAATATTCTTTCTTCTTTTACAATAAATTTCTTCCGAAATACTTCTTTTATCAATTAATAAACTGTATATAGATTTTAGAATTATCTATAATAGGAGAGCTAAATTTAAATTTGATATAAAGAAACTTAAATTTATTTTATCAATTATTATCAAATTAGAAATATTTTTACTAATAATAAATTTCTTTAAATAGCGGGAGTGTCTAATAGCATTTCTTTGTCTCGGAATTGCTCTTACATCATCAGCTAGTCGCAGAGAGGAACTCGAGAAGGCTGCTGAGCTTGCAGTAGAAAAGGCAGCCGAAAGGGCAGCCGAGAGGGCAGTGGAAAAGGCACTTGATGGTGGAAATACTACGACGGAATCCAAACTTATCCGTGAGTCTTATTCCAACATTAGGAAAGATCCCAAGGAGAAAGAAGTAAACAATAATTACAGCGATAGCGGCGAATACGAACCGATGGACGATGAACAAGAGCCAAAAGAAGACGCGGATGATTGGAGCAGATATTCAGGAGACCCAACATTCGCGTCTCAACGCACGAGAGATCGAAATTTTCATGCATGGTCCAGTAAGATTGATATCAAAGATTCGACGGATATCTGGAGAAGATTCCCAAGAAGTGAATGGTCCCACGAGAATACTAGGTGGGATAAACCAAATGAAAAGACTATCGTAACCGTGGAAAAGAAAGTGCCAGTACCTGTGACGATTGAGAAGAAAATTTTGAATTCGATCTATAAACGTTCCCTATGAGATCAACGTGTCCGTGCCGCAGCCTTACACAGTGGAAAAGAGGGTGTCTTATTCGGTCAAGGTCTATGTGAATGTACCAGTTGAAATTCCAGAGTCTTATCAAGTCGAGAAGCAAGTTCCTTATAAAGTGAAGGTTGGCAACCATGTGCCGTACAAAATAGAGGTACCAGTATCGCAACCTTTTAGAATTGAGAAAAGGATTCCAGTCGAAGTAAAGGTACCGATATCACAGTCATATACTATTGACGATACCGTACGAGGTCAAAGTATCGATCAAAATATCAACTCTGTATGAAGTTGAGAAGAAGGTATCGATACCGATGAATATCGCCATCAATCAGCCGTATCCGGTATCAGTATTCAAACCATATCCGGTAGAAGTGCCTAAATCGCCCAGTAAGAATTAAAATACCTGTAGAAAAACCGTATCTTGTGCCGGTTGAGAAGCCAGTTGTGGTACCTGTCAAAGTGTCGGATCCTTCCGTATTCCGTAGAGAAATCTGTATCGGTAAAAGTAGTGAAACCTTATTCTGTTTCGATTAAAAGTATCTGTGGATAAGCCTCACGAGGTGCATGAGACAAAGCCGGTACTCGTCCCAGTGAAAAAGACCTTCCCATACGTTGTGTAAGTTCCGGTATCAGTCAAGCTTAGTTGGAAGAATCGAAATATCAAGGAAAATCTGTTGGAGAGCGAAAGCACTAAGACCAAATCATTTCTGCGACCGCAATGGTCAGATCGTGAATCATTCACTCGGTAAAACCACAGATGTTTGTACTGTTCACCACAAGCAATTCATCATACGCCGTGTATGCGGATATTTTGCATGAAATCATGACAAGTATATTTTATGTAATTTGGAAAGAGACTGAATGCCTATAAAATATAAAAATTAATTTAACTGAGTTACATATATTATAATAAGTAACTACAAATTAGAATAATTTACAATTATAATAAGATTGTAAAATATTTCAACATAATTTAGCAATTAAAATAGACTTCAATTCATAATATATGACATGCAAACTACAATTTTGTCATGACACATTACGTAAGATCATTTTACTTAAGATTCTTAAAAGATTTTATTTAAGATTTTTTTATTAATACAATATAATTATATTGTTATATCTTCGTTAATTATTGTATAATATTTTACTAATGTAGCTAAAATATTTGATCATTAGAAAACATCATTCTATATTAATGATAATGGAAAATATTT